CGTCGCCGGCACGCGGTACGCGGCCTTCAAGGCACGAGCCTTGGACTCTTTCAAGGTCAGTCAACACGAGCGTTTCTCAACCCTCGTCCGGCTCACAACCGGCGATGATCCCCCCTCGAGACTCCTTGACCGAATGCTAGGGCTGTACAAGCCAGACCCGAACTCTTCGAAAAACCCGCTTTTTCGGTTCCATTATCTTCAAAAACTGCCTCCCCACGTCCGAGATCAATTTACGGCGTGCGATCATCTTGAACTCAGGGACGTGGCAAAACTTGCCGACAATATCTTCGTGCAACGTCACGCTGCCAGCGTGCTCGCGGTGCAAGACGAAGAGAAAGTTGACGCTGTGCGGCAGATGACTCGAGGCAAGAGCGGATTTAGGGGGACAACGTCATCGAAGACTCAGCGCGCATGCAGATTCCATGCGGAATTCGGCGAGCGAGCCAGGAGTTGTTTAATGCCATGTTCTTGGAATGGGAGAGTGTCTCCGGCGCAGGGAAACGAACCGGCCGGCCGCCAGTAATCACGCTCGCGGCCGGCTCCCAGCCGCGGAGTGATCTTTTCTTCGTCTTTTTGTTTTTGTTGTATAACACTCCATATTTATTGATGAACAGTCATCTGTAGGAGGGGGGCAGTTGAGGGGCCTGACGCCCTGAGAGGACTTTGGCGAGGCGCCAGCGAAAACTGAATTGAACAGTATTATTCTTCGCCCGAGGAACAACATAAAGAGACCGGGAGCGCGTAACAGTTTCACGTCTGATGAAAATATCACAGAATTCTGGGTACCTGAGGAACTTGTGAGCCAGTGCAAGGTCTCTAGAATTAAGCTGATCAGAAATAGGCTCAATCACAAAAGCCGACGGGTCTACTCCGCATTTCGCTGCCACGCGCCTGATAAACCTTCGCTGAAAGGCCTCCAGTGAGCGTGAGGATTTCTTCAGCCACGCCACGGACGCCAGGCTGGCGAGGCGTAGAGCAGGATCGGGAGGACGAGCGCTCTGTAGGCTTTGATGTATACGGAAGGAATACGGCAGTCAAACGCTCGGACCACGAAGTTGGCGGTGCGACCGGCACGAGCGAGGGTCTCACGGACATGGGACTCGGGTTTGAGGTCCCACGAGAGTAGGACGCCCAGGTCGCGTACCCGAGACAGCTCCGGGATAGGCTCGCCAAAGATGCTGTAGGCGTGTTCTTCGCTGTGGAGAATGTGCACCGTCGCGGATTTTGACGGAGAGAGCTGGAATTTCCACCGACGAGTCCAGCTCTCGATGTTCGTAAGGGACGTCTGCAGAGCCGTGTGGCCCCCCTCGCAAGCTACGTTTGCATAAATTTGGGTATCGTCCGCGTACGTCGCATGAGAGACCCCCTGAGTCAGTTCAAATCGAAGGTCCGATGTATACAGGAGAAATAATAAGGGTGCCACGCAGCTACCTTGAGGCACCCCAGAGCAGGCGGATCGCCACCCTGAACGAGCATCCCCGATCTGAACACAGAACGAGCGGTCTTCAAGGAACGATTTGAACCACGCGCAGAGTTTTTCAGAGATCCCATACCGACGAAGTTTGTCCACCAGAAACCGGTGATTCACGACGTCGAAGGCAGCACGAAAGTCTAGAAAGATCACATCAGTCCTGGCCGAATGATCATTAAAGTCGGTGATCCACTCATTGAATGTTGACGTGAGGAGGATGTCAGTCGAGCGCTTCTGACGAAATCCGAACTGGTGTGGGTCGAGAAGTGAATTAATCTCGCAGTGATGAAGTATCCGGTCCGTCAAGATTTTCTCCAGTACTTTACTGGTCACGGTTGTAATCGAGATGGGGCGAAAGTTGTTAAGGTCCAACCTGGAGCCCTTAGATTTGAAGACGGGTGTGACGAAGGCGCGTTTCCAGGCCCGAGGAATTTTGCCGGAACGAAGGGAGAGATTGAAGATGATTTGCAGTGGACGGGCCAATCCAAGCGCAGCGCGTGAGAAGAACAATGGAGGGAGACCGTCAGGAGTAACAGTCAGCTTATTACCCATGGAGCGCAGGGTCTCGTACACCGTTATCTCATCAAGTTCGAAATCTGGGAGCTTGACCTCGGACTCGGCACCCTTCATAAGCGGAATCGGTGAGCCATCGTCGGGTACGAACATGGATGCGAAATGCTCAGCGAACAGTTCGGCGATCTCCCCCGGACTCGTATGGATCGTACCATCGCTGGTTTTGATCACGGAGATTCCCTGTTTTCCCCCTATACGACTGCGTGCGTAGCGGAAGAAGTTCCGGGGATCCCCGGACGAAGCCACGCGAGTCTCAGTCAGGATCCTATCACGTCTGATGAGTTTATCAAGTTTATCAAGGCGGACGAACGAGGATCTCCCTCAGATCACTGCTTACTTGCCGCCAATCACAGCAAATTCCGCACATACGGTATGAAGAATCTCACTCTGAACCTCGCAGGACGTTTCACACATGCTTTGAGGTTCATCATTGCCGATGTCACTCACCCGATTCTGGGTTCCGACTTTCTCAGAAGCGCGGGACTCTTAGTGGATCTCCGCGGTAGGAGACTCCTCGATGATAATCTTTCACTGGTGTCTATACCGCTGCGAGTGGCGCAACCCGGAGAAGGCATCAGTATACTCACCAAACCCAGTAACGAGTTTGAAGCACTCCTTCTGGAGTTCCCAAGCGTACTCACGTACTCGCGTTTGGACTCGGCGGTCAAGCATTCAGTTCAACATCACATCGTAACCAAGGGCCCGCCGAGATACGCAAAGGCACGCCGCCTCGCCCCCGACGTTATGCGAGTAGTCAAAGGAGAGTTTCGATCCCTGGAGAAGCTTGGCATTATCAGAAAATCGTGCAGTCCGTGGTCCAGCCCGCTCCACGTCGTACCGAAGGCGGACGGAACCAAGCGACCATGCGGCGATTTTCGACAGGTCAATGATATCACCGAGCCGGATAGTTACCCGCTCCCACACATCCACGATTTTGCAGGGAACCTTGATGGATGTACGCTCTTCTCGAAAATCGATCTGGTCAAGGGCTACCACCAGATCCCCATGGCGCCGGAAGACATCCCTAAGACCGCCATCGTCACTCCTTTCGGGCTCTGGGCTCTGGGAATATACGCGGATGCCTTTCGGCCTTCGGAATAGCGCTCAAACCGGCCAGAGGCTCATGGATTCCGTTGTGAGTGGCCTCCCATTCATTTTCGTATATCTCGATGACGTTCTTGTTGCCTCGAGGAGCAAAAAGCAGCACCTCGAACACCTCAGGGCGCTTCTCGAACGGCTTCGGGACAACGGCCTGGTGGTCAACGCCGAGAAATGCTGTTTCGGAGTTCCTTCGATCGACTTCCTAGGCCATCGCGTTTCGAAGGAGGGTATCGCCCCGCTGCTGAAGAAAGTAGATCGCATCCGCGATTCTCCGCAGCCGAGAACGAACCTGGAACTCCAATGCTTCATCGGCATGGTCAATTACTACCATCGTTTTCTCCCCATGGCAGCAACGGTGATGGCACCGCTGATCAGGATTCTAGATCCGAGCCCGAAGGCGAAAACCACAGCTGTTCCCTGGGACGCCGAGACTGTTTCTGCTCTTCAGGCAACCAAGGACCTCCTGGCGCACGCTACCCTCCTCGCTCATCCACGGTGCAAACCTCGCCATCGTCTCGGATGCCTCGGACGTGGCGGTCGGGGCGGTGCTACAGCAGCTTCGAAACGGAACTTGGCAGCCCCTCGGGTTCTTCAGTCGGGAACTCAGAGACCCAGAGACCCGGTACAGCACCTCAGACAGAGAACTGCTCGCCATCAATTTAGCATTTAGACACTTCCTTCACCACGTCGAGGGTCGTCCTTTCACGATATTCACGGACCACAAGCCGCTTACGTCCTTCATCGCCAAGAAGAGCACACCACGCCGTATATCATGGCATGCGCACTTCGCCGCGACGGTCGACGACGCTTCCCATGTTCACGGTCTCTATTCCTGAATTTCCCCATATTCCTGCCGACGATTTGGGTCTTTTCCTCGAAGGGAATCGTGCTCAAACTCATGGAGCTGAGCTTGGTATTTCACTTCGGGGAAGAGGACTCGATATTGTGGTTTGCAGCAAACGTTCACTTATTCTTTCTCAATATTAACAGCGAAATAAGTGATCGCCTCGCGACTAACGGTCTCGCGACCAAAGTTCTCGCGGCGATACGGTCCGCGGCGCATCGGCCCGCGGCGAAACGGTCTCGCGGCGGAGCGGTCTCGCGGCGGAACGGCCGCGGCGAGATGGGGCGCTCCGCCAGTCCGTGGTTGGTCTTCGCACCATCTGTATCCTTCGCTCGTTTAGTCATCTTGGAGATCTCCGCGTGCGTGCCGATGTCGTTTCTGCTCCAGCATATCTCGGATAGTTTCTGGGTCAGTATGGCATACCACGTACTCGGAGTCTGAATCAGGATCTTTTCGTCTCCATTCATGTGCGGGAAATCTGCCTTCAGCGCTAGTTTCTGTGTGATCTCGGCCATATCACTCGTTGTCGCCTTTCCTCGACTTCTAACAAAATAAATGAACCGTGATCGTATATTCTAGACTTAAACCATCATAAAATGTCTATCTTGTAGTCGGAATAGTTCGAGAATCAATTTTGTTCAAGCGCAATCCAACGCTATTCTCTCAAATGAGTCTTGAGTCATTTGGACTCCGTGGATTTTTTCGTATTTCCGATGATTGGAGTCTGACTGACGCTAATATTCCGGATTTTCCCGAGTGGAGCGAAGGCGATCCGGAAAATATACCCGGCTCCCCTACTGACAGGATGCGATATTCACTCACGGGGTACTGCCTTAGTTCGAGTCTCCTTATTGTCGGGAACGGATAGCCAGAGTCGGGGATCTCGCAATGCATGGCCCGATTACCTTGTCTTTCCCAGCAGAGATCATCCACATCATTGTCCCCGCGCTCTCCCCCATTGCGTTCCGCTAGTTATACATTCATGTTTCATGCCCCCTATATAATACTTTCACATAGACTTGATATGCGCGGACTCAGATGATGACCTGAGAACGACGAACAATACCCCAGAGAGAGATCCGAGGGGCCGAGTTCTGAGGGACCGCTAAAAGTCTGTCAACTGCGCTCGCCACAACCGCAACAACAAAATACAGGGCCGCAGAACAACAGAATACTAATGTCGGCAGCACGAACCGGACTTCTTCCTTTTGTGAGAGGAATCGACCTCGCGCGGAATGATTTGCAGGTTGGTCGCAATCGCTCTGGAGAATGCTCCGTGACTATCGCTGGCTGGTCTCCCAGGCAATCAGATCCTCGCCGCGTTCCCTCCGCCCGGACTCTTTTAAGGCAACCGGAGACCCAGTCGGAGAGAATCAGCCGACTATCACACGAAACCGGTTCTTGAGGGGGCTATTTGTACCCCGTCCCCCGGACGTCAGGGACGATCGTGCCGATTTCCAGCCGGCTACGGTGATATGAGAATCGTCTATCACGCGACAGCCTGAGCCGCTGCACCGAGAAGTCGATGACAGTCGCATTCTGAGTTCGTTCCACGATCTACTTGAGGCGTCTCGGGAAGCCCCTTTAGACGGGCAGGGTTCGCAGTTCTTGACGGTTTCTTGCACCAAACTTTCAGGAAGATAACTTCCCTCGAACTGTGGCTGAAATGGTGGGTCTGCGATGGCTTCGTTTAGACAGAACGAACCTGGATGGGTTCCCAGATGAGATGTCAAGACTGCAAAAGCTGGTAGGTGCACAATCCCCTCATATCAGCAATACTGCTCGTCGATGACTTTGCCGGCTTCTCTGTATGGTCTGAGAATAATGTGGATCCCCTCCTCCGTTTTCAGGAGAGTCTCCACCTGCAAAGGAACAATCTGAGCTCAATTTTCGGAGCGATCCCGACGATGAAAAATCTGAGATACCTCAACTGCCATCACAACAAACTGACATCTGTACCGCCGGACTTGGGCTTATTGGAAGAACTTACAGTTCTCGTAAGCATCTTGCTTGAAATCCGCCGTTCCGGAATGAAAAGCCCGGGCGTAGCCAAAATAAATCTTCCCAGCGCTGACAGCCTGTTTCCGATGTTCCAGGATTTGAGCCACAATGATCTCCGTGAAGTGCCAGAGAACTTGGAGAAAGCCGTCTACTTGACCGTTCTCAACCTCTCTTATAACCGGATCGAGTCGATTCCGCAGCACCTGTTTTTGAATCTTCTCGATCTGGTCTATCTAGATATGAGCGGCAATCAACTAGGTAAGCGCACCTCGCGTTCTCTTCGGGCCATCGGGACTGCTCTCTGACCGGTGCGATTTCTGGTTTACCAATTACATAGGCAGTCGACAGAAGCTCAATCTCCCTTGCAGAAACACTTCCTCCACAAATGCGGAGATTGGTATTCTTGGAAACGCTGCTCCTCAATGACAGCCCGAAGCTTGGAAACTATCAGTTGAAACAACTTCATGCACTGACATCATTGAGGACCTTGCACGTCGGGAACGCTGCTCGCACATTAACGAATACCCCTCTGGCCTTGGACATGACAAGCCTTCTATCAGGTTCGTCACCCATACACATTCAGGAATCGGTCGCTTTAGTATCTAGATTCAGCGCTCGGGGGGACGAATCCCGAGAGATCTCAGCTGCGGAGAAAGGCCCTGCGTACAGATCTCGCTTTGAAGCGCGATACGCCGATTGCTGTGGAATCCTCTAGGGGAACAAAACGAGCCTCCCATTGGATTGTCGCGCCATCTCAATGGATTCTTCCAATCTCACTCGCAGTCCAGTTATGACGTTCGTGAGAGAAGCTTTAGGGGTCTGATTTCCCGGCTTGCATTCCCAGATATCGATTTTTCATCTAATAACTTACCCCGCGTACCCGATATGCTGTACGCACTCAAAACGCTCCGCCGACTGAACCTCAGCGATAACTGCATAACGGAGCTCTCCCCGGAAATCGGCGGTGGGTGGACGAAACGCTCCGAGAATATCCATGCCAGGCCTCGAATGCAGAAATGAAATAATTCCATGCCGGAAATTTCCAATACAGATTCTTGGAAGTTGCTAGAGACCCTGAACGTGTCGAGAAACAAACTCGTGGCTCTCCCCAGCTCTCTCTGCAAGTGTAGTCAGCTGCGGCGTCTGTATGTAAATGACAATCGCATCGACTTCGACGGAATTCCGTCGGGCATCGGAAAACTGCACAACCTCCAGGTCTTCCAAGCCGCCAATAACAACCTCGAAATGATTCCCGAGGGGGTCGTGAGGTAAAGGCTCGTAGTTTACGCACGTATGTGTTCCGTTCGGCGAAGCTCTCTCTCCTATACTGCGGGATTCTCATTCAATTAGTTCTATTTCAGATGTGGTCGACTGAAGAAGCTCGTTCTTGCCAATAATAGATTGATTACGGTTCCTGAAGCCATCCATCTTCTCACTGATCTCGAAGTCCTGGATTTATCGAACAACCCGGATCTCATGATGCCGCCGAAGCCTCAACAAACATTCAATGGATCCGCTGAATACTACAACATCGATTTCTCTCTCCAGACACAGATGCGCTTAGCTGGTGCTCAACTTCCCGCGCAGCTACCTCCCCTCGGTAAGGGATCAGGCTTGCTCTGGAGTTCCAAGGATTGCTCACTACTCGTTTTCGGATTCTTTAATTCATGCTGAAATTCATTCGTTTTCCATCAAGCCCCGACGAAGGACCCCATCGCTCGGAAACAGCGTCTGCGCCGTCGGAGAGGCTGCGACGAAGAAACGGACGACACCGAAAAAGTTCTGAAAGGGATGAAAGAATTGGCGACTCGGAAAAATGTCAATGGATCACAGCCAGACACCCCCATCTCTTTGAAGTGAGCTCCATGAAGGGGTGTTTCCCTCCAACTCCGTGAGGCAGCTCAGACTGCTAAAATTTTCATCGACCCCAATCACTCAGAGGAGCTATAAACGAGCACCTTATTTCAGACCGAAAAATTGGGAAGATGCCCTCGAGAAACCTCCGATCGATTACAGCGAATTATTTGAAGAAGACGTGGGCCAGATGCCGGGCGTTTTCGTCTGGGAAATCGATAATTTGCTGCCTGTGCCTCTGGATGACGACTATATCGGAAAGTTCTTCGAAGGCGATTGCTATATTGTGATGCTCACTTATCTTGACGAGGCTCAGAATCTCGCGTGGAAAATCCACTATTGGATCGGCAGGGAGTGCGCTGTAGGTCGAATTTCCGACTTTGACGAGTCTGAATCTCTGCATGATACATCCATCTTATCTGTCTGAGGGAACTAATTCAGGAGTGGGTCCACAGCTGGATAAGCAAGCTTGCTCGGCGATACATGCCGTGAATCTGCGCAATTTTCTGGGGGCCCGTTGTCGGACCGTGCGCAACGAGCAAGGTGATGAATCAGACGAATTCCTTGAATTCTTCCCAGAAGGTGTCGAATACTTGACAGGAGGACGCACACAGTCCGGTTTATATTCCGTCGAGGAAATTGTGAGTTACCTAGATTCAAACAATGAGAATCGAAATCAGCCTATCGTCGGGAATCGATCAGAACGCAGAGAATTTTCTGTGCGGTGACCGGAAGACTCCCTTTCAGGAATATGCCACGAAACTGTATCGAATTTCTGCGAACCATGCCGCGGTACACGTGGAGAACGTGGAGCCTTGTGTAGAGAGTCTTGATAGCAGTCACGTCTTCGTGCTAGATGGCGGACTTAAAATTTTCGTCTGGAGTGGCCGCAACTCCAAGTGCACTGTTTCGCAGAAAGGTCGACTGCTAGCAGAAAAAATCAACAAAATTGAGCGAAAAGATAATGCAGAGATATTTGACATGCATCAGGGCAAAGAACCAGTCGACTTCTGGTCCCTTCTTGGAGTCAAGCACGAAAATGAAGAGGAGTTGAAACATATCGTCATACCGAAGAATAGAGTTCCCGCCGATTGGAAGCCCAAGGACCCAAGACTGTATCAGGTCCACCTGCGACCTGGTTACCTCGAACTACCTCAAGTTGAATTGAAAGAGGGCAAACTTGTCAAAGAACTCCTAGAAACGGAAAAAGTCTACATCCTGGATTGTTTCACCGACGTGTATATATGGTGGGGAAAAAAATCCACAAAGCTGGTCAAATCTGCCTCAATGAAACTTGGACAAGAATTGCTCGGCATGATGCCAAGACCTCAGCACGTGACCCTTGTGAGGACTCTCGAAGGGTGAGTTCATTGGGAAGGGAATTCTTGACAGGGAGTCCTCAATGACAAGTCAGGGCAGCATGACCTGACAGCATCCTATTTCCAGGAACGAGCCGATGGTCTTCAAATCGAAGTTTGTTGGCTGGGATGACGTGATCGCAGTCGACTTCACTAGGACAGCCACTTCAGTTGCTCGAACCGGCGCGGACCTGAAGAAATGGATGACGACTCAAGAAACTAAAGTCGACCTCGCGGCACTCTTCAGTCCTCGTCAAATACTTCCCACTGCGGAAGAGACAGAGAAGTTCATGGAGACGATCAACGAAGACTTGGACGTCATGGAGTGCTTTGTGCTCGAAGGGAAGAAGTTCGTCAAACTTCCCGAGGAGGAATTCGGTCATTTTTATTCTCAGGATTGCTACGTGTTCATGTGTAGATATTGGATCCTGCCGGAGAACGCCACTGCCACCGGTTCAGACGACCATCCTGACAGCGTGTGTGATGAGGATGCAGATGAGGACTTCAAGTGCGTTGTGTACTTCTGGCAAGGAAGAGACGCCTCGAACATGGGGTGGCTGACCTTCACATTCTCGTTACACCGTCGCTTCGAGCAACTATTCGGTGACAAGCTAGACGTACAGCGAACATATCAGCAACAAGAGACCGACAGATTTCTGGCACACTTTCGGAAGAATTTCGTCATTCACACTGGAAGCCGAAAAGACAAGTCCAAGCCTCTTAATGCGCTATATCACATCAGGGCGAACGGCTCACCAATATTCACCCGCTGCATTCAAATAGAAGCCTCGGCCGAGAATTTGAATTCAGCATTCTGCTACATCCTGAGAGTTCCCTTCAACAATGAAGACGCGGGAGTTCTCTATGTATGGATGGGAAAAAAAGCCCCGCCTGATCTCATCGACACAGCCAATGAAATCGCACCCAAACTGTGCGGAAGCGCCAACTATGGGATCAGTCATCTAAACGAAGGCGACGAACCCGATAATTTCTTCTGGGTCGCGCTCGGAGGCCGGAAGGATTACTTCACGGTAGGTGTCCGACAGAGACTTCGCCGACCGATAACGATTTGATCCAGGTCTGACGAAAGGAGGGGATGTAACTCCCAACTTTTCTTTCGGCAGGACGCCAGCTTCATGAGCCATTTACGACTCTTCCGGTGCTCCAATGACAAGGGCTACTTCTCGGTGACTGAAAAATGCATCGATTTCTGCCAGGATGATCTTGCCGATGAAGACATTATGATCCTCGATGAAGGCGAGGACGTTTTCATATGGGTGGGGTCGAAGTGCTCCGAAGTCGAGATCAAACTCGCCCTCAAGAGTGCACAGGTCAGTTCAAATCCCAAGTGGAACGACGGTATGTCCCGAATCTGACTCGGAAACAAGGGAAAATTTGTGACTTTATGCTCTCTTCCAGGTCTACGTCCAGAGTATGCGCGCGAAAAACCCCGAGCAGCCTCGCAAGCTGAAGCTCACATTAAAAGGAAAGGAGAGTCGCCGTTTCAAGAAGTGTTTCCACGGATGGGGTAAATTCAAGCAGGTCGCCGAATGGAGTGGTTGAGGAATGCTCCCAGACTTGCAATAGGTCGACATCGGATCATCGGCCCAGATTTCAATGCCGCCGATTGAGCCAGAATGCTTTTGGAGTTTAGGATACCGGAGTCGGTGCGTGTCCGCCGGGCCGCTTAGCTTTATAATCGGGTTTTATATCCTCCTCGGAGGCGGGAAGGGTAGAGAGATTTCCACCCCCCAAGAATAGTGCAATTAACAGAGAGCGGTCTCGAGCGGAGGCGAGACTGTGGATGTACCGTATATATCTAATAAATCTGAATATTCAGACAGTTTTCCTCCTCTGCCTTTCGCTGTATTATAATTCGACAAGATAATAGCATTTGTTGATCTGTTGAACAAGCGACTGATCAAGAATCGGGGCATCGACAATAATAATCGGTAAGACTGCACGAACAGTCGAGTGCAGGCCGAGAGAGCTGGCGTCAATGACGCGAAGCCAGGGAGTTCGCTCGTACACGCTCAAAAGCGATGAGGGGAAAAGAGGAGCGAGGCGGTCACCGCGCTGAGACGCAAGACCTACGTAATTGTCTCAGAACCGGAAGAGAAGCGCTTGAAGTTCCGGCGACATCTCTCCAGCAAGCGCAGCGGGGGCTCTTTCGACATCATATGGGAGCGCGGAGGCGAGCGAACTTATCGTCTTCACGAAGCTTGCGAAGTGGATTTTGCATACTGCCGGAGAACGCGACCGCCACCGGTTCAGACGACCATCTGAGTCTCTCTGTCATAGCGCGATGTCAAGCCTTACGAGCCCAGATCTTCCTCCATATTGCCAACAAGTTGAAAGGAACTACCAGCCACGTGGGCCGATCGCAGTGACTGGAGAAGATGCCGCTTACTGGCTTTCCATATCGCGCGTCGCACTTTCTGGACATGGAGCTTTGCCCAGGCTCTGAGCGATCCCGCGTTTGGCTTTCAAGCCTAATGTAAGTGTTTCAAATTTCAGCATGGTAGTTGGCGGCGCTGTATAGGCCACGCCGAAAATTGGCGCCGGCAACGCCGACGCGCTGATCTAGCGGCCCCTCAGGAAGTCCGCCATCTTTCTTTGCGGTCAAACGGCGCTCTCATCAATGACTCATCTACTCTGGACATAAGACTCGGTTCCGTACGAACGTTGAGTCTGTGAAAAGTGCGCAAAAGAAAAACGCGGGGCGGAACCGCTCGAAAACGGAATCGGTCGATGGGCGATTGAAAATGGTAGATGATCCGTGCTTATAGTTCGAGAGCGACCGGGCGGTCCCATCCTCTGGTTTTTGATCCTATCGCCACAGCGTTATCTCACGGGAAGACACCGTGATCTCACGGGATGACACTCGGATTCCACAGAATCACGGTGTGGGAACAGGATCAAAAACCGGAGGAAGGGACCGCGTGATCGCGCCCAAATTATCAGCACAGATCATCGACACCACCCGTCTCGCTCTCCCACCGGAAGGGGGTGGGGAGAACATTCCGAGAATTCCGGGAGTTTTTTTCCCGAGAGCCCCATGCTCTGTAGATTGAAGAAGGATAATCTCTGGGTCTCTCATTCCGGGGATTCTCGGACTGTACTCTCCTAAAGGAGAGCTCTATGCTGAGGATTGAAAATAGACCCGATGGATTTCGGGTCTCTCATTCCGAGGATCCTCGGTCTTGATCACTGATGAGAGGCTCTTTGGACAAAAGTCCGATAATTTCCAGGTTTCCCATGTCGGATATTCGCAGAGTCTTAGAGCCGCGCCGGGCTTACAGCAGCGCCAAGCTGACGAGCTGAGGGCTAAGGGCAGTGCGGAGCAGACTTCAGCGCCGTCCGCCTTGTAATGACCGGAGTTCGGAAAAATGCCTGCCGGCAGCCGGCAGACATCGGCAGGTTTCCGATGATTCACAGTTCACACACCTCGGTGTCTGCCGCCATCTTGCCTGGCGGGCGAATGTCGCGCTCCGGCGCGGCAGGAGGCGGCCTCTCTCTCCCCGAAGGAGGATTCCAAGTTCCGAGGTGCTGTTTCCTAACAGCAGCAGACGACAGCTTTGATGGGTGGTTGTTGTTGTGTTCGTTCCGTCGTATGGCAGACCCGCAACCGATACGATATTTTCAAAAATTAACTAGTAAGGTGGAGAAGAACGCTCATGAACGCGGAGCGTCTCATTCTCAAGTTTAAACTCCTGTTTCTCCATAATTGTCGGGTCCGACAGCTTCTCGGAGGACGAGTTCCACTGCGCCCGCGACTGACGGAGTAGAGTTCTCCGCAAGGCAAGTTTCTGCTCGGAGACGCATTCGAAAGAGATCAGTCGGAGTTTTCGCTCCGCAAAGGAAAGAATGATCTTTCAGCCTTACGTTCAGCCATGTGGGACTAGGAATCCCCGAATGACTTTCTGCTCCTACTGAAAGCCGGCGCGTTGATGATCTGAGGAGTGTTCAATTAACTTCGTATCCGAGCAACCGCTTCAGTTTAATCTATCAGTTCGTCTGATGTCTAATGTCTAGCAGAACTATACGATGATGCTTGACGATCGATGCGCGTAACTCCCCTCGCGATGAGCCTTCCCGTAGCTGCACCCGAAATTCTGGTAGCCGAGCGGGTTGATGACTGAGCCCTTGCCGCGCTCGCGAAGCTTTCGAATTTCAAGGAGTTCCTCCGCTCTTCTAGCGAGTGGGTTTCTGACAGGGAGTCGGCTAGGGCGTCAAGTGTCCGACGGCGCTCATGCCGCGCGGCATTCTCGAAATGCCCCGGAGAAACTCATAGGTCTCTTTTTTGCAGCTACACACAATGATTCTCCGAAACGCGAACCGCGATCGTTACGCGGAGGAGTCTACTCCTACTGGGAATCAAGAGCGTGAAGGCGGCTCGTTGTTGGAGGACGACTTCTTCAACGAGGAGGATTCAAACGACGACGATGTCTCATACGGGCCAACGGTGTCGTATGGCTCCTCGCAAGGGACCGGCAGGGGACGTGGACGTGGTCGAGGACGAGGTAGAGGTCGAGGCCGCGGTAGAGGTCGAGGTCGCGGACGGGGTAGAGGCAGAGGAAGAGGTGCAGCGACGGCTCATGCTCACATGATTGGAGAAATCCCTATGCCCGAAGAAAGGATGGAGGACAAATACCCTCCCGATGTAAATCCGAGATGTATTTTCGATGTTCTCTTGAGAGGGAAGACGAACATCACTTACATGGTCGATGATTGGATCATAAACTACAAAGTAAACCGGGAAGAGGGGATCCGAGACTTGATGCAATTCTTCATACGGAGCGCCGGCTGCAAAAGTCAAATCACCCGTGAGTAGGAGCAACCGTCAGTATCCGAATATTGCGTTGGTGATTGGACGCTGCGTCCCTATCGATGTCACGCCCGTACAGTCACCGTGCTTGATCAGGGCTTTCTTCCTCTTCCGTAGCGGACATGCAGCGAACCATGGATCACCCTCAAATCATACGGCGGATGACGGAGGAATTCGACGAAGATTCGGGAGATTATCCCTTGATCATGCCCGGCCCACAGTGGAAGAAGTTTCGGCACCATTTTTGTGACTTCGTCCATCAACTGGTGAAGAGCTGCCAGTATTCGATAATTTACGACTCTTACATGATGGACAATATAATCACGCTCCTCACTGGGCTCTCGGATTCTCAAGTGAGTCATCTTTGTCAACCTCTCGAATCATGACCTCTCTCTTGGATGTGTCATGTACGACAGGAATCGAGGAACATTCACACCTCATCGAATACCTTGACTATGTCTTCCTCAGGTACGAGCGTTCCGTCACACGGCGACATTGGCTGCCATGAAGCTAATGACTGCTCTAGTCGATGTTGCTCTGAATCTATCGATCAATCTCGATAATACCCAAAGACAGTACGATAACGAGTGGGCGCGAACACGTGACCACAACTCCGAACGATTGCAAATGCTCCTCACGAGAAGACGGGAACTCGAAGAGAATAACGAGGACATCAAAAACATGCTCACGTATCTCTTCAAATCCGTCTTCGTTCATCGATACCGAGACATGCTACCAGAAATCCGATGCATCTGCATGGTAGAAATCGGAAACTGGATGAAGAAATTCCACCAACAATTTCTCGATGACTCCTACCTTAAATATCTCGGCTGGACACTTCACGATAAAGTCGACGAAGTCCGTCTCAAGTGTCTCCAGGCGCTATTGCCACTTTACGCAAACAACGATCTCTGCACGAAAATGGAACTCTTCTCCACGAAGTTCAAAGAACGCATCGTTGAAATGACCTTGGACAAGGAGTTCGACGTCAGCGTTCAAGCTGTGAAACTGATAATCTATATCCATCGTTATCACGAACAGGTGAACCAAAGCTCATTCGGATCTAGATCAAGAATATCTCCGAGATTTCGCCGCTCGGGCATGGAAGCCTGGCTCCGCCCGGATCATGCCACGAGCGGGAATCGTAATTTTCTCTAAATCTCCCTCTTCCGCCTAACGGGGATAGGTGCTGACGGATAAAGACTGCGAACACGTGTATGAGTTGGTTTATTCGTCCCATCGCGCGGTCGCCCAAGCCGCGGGCGAATTCCTGAACGAGCGATTGTTCCAACCCGACGACAGGACAGTGATCAAGACCAAACGTGGGAAGAGGATGTCGCGACATACAAGCGCCCTCAGAGACATGGTTCTGTTCTTCATCGAGAGTGAACTCCATGAGCACGGTGAGTCGAATTCTCACAGGGGGTGTTTTCCGCTGGGAACAAATTTTCGCTTTCTCCGCTTATTGTCGACTGGTCTTCTCCAAGGTGCCTACATCGGCGACAGTCTGATCGACAGCAATCCAATGGTCAAGGACTGGGAGTGTTATACCGATCTCCTGCTTGAGGAGCCAGAAGATCCGGAAGACGCATTCGAGGACAAACAAGAAACCACCCTGATAGAGCTCATGGTCTGCGCCGTAAAACAGTCAGCCACCGGGGAACCGCCTGTGGGAAGGGGTAGCAGCAGACGTCAACTCACAGCCAAAGAACTCAAACAAGTTCAAGACGACCGCACGAAACTCACCGAACATTTCATTCAAACTCTGCCAGCCATACTGAACAAGTATGTCGCGGACGTTGACAAAGTCGCCAACCTGCTCGTGCTGCCCCAGTATTTCGACCTAGAGATCTACACGACATCGCGACAGGATCGATCGCTCGACCAATTGCTGAGTGTGATGAATCGTATCGTCGACATGCACGTTCATGATGACGCCCTGATTGCTTGCGCGAAGACCTACGAAGCGCTCTGCAATGAAACCCTGGCTATCCAATCAAAATGCAGCGTCAGCAGGGCTACTCTAATCGACGGCTTGAGAAATAAGTGAGTTCCTGGGCTTTTTCCCTTAATTCCGAGCAATGAGGAATATCAGCGCTGATGTCGTACTTTTCCACAGCTATCAATTGACGCTCACGGATTTCCACCAATACGCCGCCGACGATACCCCTGACGATGAGACCGTCTTCCGCATAAACAACGCTTTGAAGAAACTTGCCCTGTTCCACGATGTCCACAACCTCGGTCCTTGGAACATTTGGAACCTCTTGTGGGAGCCCTGGGTCAAAGCCTACGTTAGCCAGCAGACCCACTTACCTGTGGAAGGCGTCCGATATGCGCTTTCAGCTTGCGAGAGTTCACTGATATGGGACATGAAAACTTTCAACGACGGTGCCGGACATCACGGTGCAGTGACTCTCGTGACCTTGCGCGATCGCGTCCACGACTACATGATGTGCCTATCAACCTTGCTGATGGACAGCAACCTGAGCGAGGAGGCTTTCATGCGCATTTGCGACATGCTAGTATTTTTCTGTCGGGAATTCAAAGTGGTCGTAGGACAAGACTCGCTCTACTACGAGCCGTCAGACATGATGATCGAAGATCTCAAAAGATTCGTTGAGAAATGGGTCTTCGTTGACGATCAAGACGACGCCATCGATGAACAGCAGAAAATCGAAAACCTCCACAAGCGACGCAAATTCCTCGCTGCTTATTGCAAGTTGAGCATTTACAATATAATTGAGATCCCTCATCTCCAGCTAGTGTTCAGGAACTACATGCGCTTCTACAACGATTACGGCGATATCATAAAAGCCACTCTCGGCAAAGCTCGGGAGATCAATAAGGTTATTTGTGCCAACACCATGGTCGAAGCTCTTTTCTCGCTCTTCAGAGAGCTCGATCACGACCGGAATCACTGCATCGAGCGGAGCTCCGAGCAGTTCGGAAATCTCAAAGAGCTAGCGAAACGATTCGCTTTAAGCTTCGGCCTAGACAATGTCAAGAACCGGGAGGCCATAGCGGCCTTCCATCGTCGCGGTATCCAACTGGCAGCGAACCCCCTGGAAAATGAATATAATCAACTAACGCATCCTCCGAATCTAGCATTCTTGGAGCTACTCCTCGATTTTGTGAACAAATTGATGAAACAGGATCGCAGAGTTGTCTGTACATATCTCGAAAAGAGTATCCCGGCCAGGTTACCCGTCAGCAAGTTCGATGATTGGGAGCCTCACCGCCTCTACCGGTAAGTTCCGACTTTATGGGACAGTGTTTCGAGCATATATCTGAGATTCAGGAGAGCTGTTGACGCAGCTCCTCTTCTGATCACGATCAGAAGACTTGATTCAAAGAGGAATCGCTTTCTCCCCAGGTCCGCGCTGCTGCAGGGCGAAGAGGCACCACCAATGGTTGGTGGTCGCCAACCGAGCAAACAATATCAGGGCCGAGGGCGGAAAAGAAATCGAGACGAAGACGAAATCACCGTTATGGATTACGATGGCGACGATACGGAGGACAATATGATGTAAATAGCGATCCTCTGAATGTCCCCACTCCTATCATTTGTAGATCAGGAGCCATTACATTCAAAGCATAGCCCGGAGTAGCGGCTAGGGGTCCAGCACCTCGAGAGCTCATTCAGCTTGATACCACGTACAGTACATTCTTATTCCATGCTGGAAGCCAGATAACTTATCGGCTATCGCCTCCTCGAGATCTAGTTATCGTATACTGATATTCAAGTAAGCCCAAATCTGCGTTCGATCTAAACTTCGTCTAAACTATAGTGTGAACCTAGTTAGCTACAATTTGCACATCTCTGGAAAGGACTTGATTGCTATTTGATCGGGGTTGGAGCTCTCTGTGTTCCGAGCTCGTCTATAATCAAGTACAGATTCCAGAGAAGTGTAATAAACGCATCCAGCCCATGTTCTGAGCGACTTTTTTTCTCACAGCTCCTTCTTCAGGAAGCATCTTTAGGAAGCATCTCTCAGATTCTGGCTTCGGTTCATAAGGTTCCCGCTCGGTCGAGCGTCGGGTAATAACTCATGACTAGGGATGTAAATTTTTCGCGGAAAATGTCCGCCAAATTCGCGGAAAGTCGCGGCCTTCATTGAAACTCTATGGGGAGTAGCCGGAAATTTCCGCGAAAATTTACATCCCTACTCATGACTCCTGAGCAGGCGTAGCGAGGACGATGATGATAGAGAAAAGAATGTAGATGTGAATATTAGGTCCAGAAGAGGTGTAGCGGTAAAGTACGGAATGCATGCTCAAGACTCCGCAATCTCATACGGCGGCCCCGGCGGGGGCGCGAAGGTCCCGCATAGGCCACATTTTCTTTCGATTCTCCTGGTATCCCTGGAGGATCCCTTTTGATGGTGTCTTGTGACTTATGTTGCTCAATCACTCCTTTCTGGTTCGATGGCTCGCTTGAGGATTCGCCGTTGCAAGCTGGGACCAAGGGAGCGACCAGTGGAGATCTCCTTCGAGGAGGCACCTCTCCTCGGAGTTTGAGGGCCCTTCAAGCAGCAAGATCTTCGCTACAGGCCTGCGTGGACATGCTGCGGATATCGCACGTTGCAAGCGAAGCGTGATGCGAGGCTTTCGGGAGACAAGTCACTAGATGACTCGACTCCACTAGATTTACTCGCGGATGGACAGTCGATCCAACCGCAAACGGTAGCTTGGAATCGGCTGTCGGGTATTTTCCCCGATAAGTGATCTGAAATGTACGCTCGATTCGTGAGAGAGACTTCGATGGCGCGGGATCTGCGGAGTTCCCTGATTGGTTTTCGGGATACAGCATCTCACGCGAGTCTGACTTGGTGAAGGAGCCCCGCTACCTGAGACCTCCAGCTGCCGGCGTTCCGAAAGCGTGCTGGTCCTGCCTCGGCATTCTGAGGGAGCGAGGGCTCGGGTCACCTGGAATGAAGTCCATGGAATGAAACCTGAACCGCCGTGTGCGGTGTCGATCAGGAGCGCTGGAAGCGAAGTGACCAACGAATAAGAGTCGCCCTCGTCTACTCTCTAGCTCTTCTCTTAGACAGGTTCGTCAAAGTATGTAAGGTGGCAGTCATGCTTAATTGAATCTTGCACGGAAAAACCACTCGAGCTGCGGCGGGATTATGCACAAAAATATTCGGTTTCCGATTCATTGTATAAGTCTGTCAGCATGTAAGGGTTTAGGTCTCAAAGTCTCAAGCTTTCGCCCGACTCCGCCCAACAACACCTCCCGATGTACGACAGGCTACAGCGACCTACATCAGGTTCGTGCGAAATGTTGCCGGGAGTCATCGTGCCGCCCGCTTTTCCTCGATCTCCTCCTCCGGCTACAAATGGGTGCAAATTCGCGGCAGATCGAGCTTCGAGAAAAAGCGATGACAGCCGCCGCGCAGCAGCTCGCCTAAAGAGCTCCCCGTCACCGAACGCCATTCGCTCTTACCCGATGTTTACATAATTCAGTCTCGGTCGGTCGGGGAATGTTTATCGAATAGTAAATTTATTCGCCATTTATGCTGCAGCCTCCCTCGGTCAGACAAGTTGCTGTCGTTGCAGACGAGTCGAGCGTGAAGAAAGCGAGCGAGTCGTCGCAGTACTCTCAAGAAATACGACTTTTCCCGGGCACATGTTTCTTCCATGTCGATTGGTGCAGTGTGGTCTCCTCGAGCGAGCGCTGTGGACGATCTTGAGCGCGCACCAATGTTCGTCGTTCAGTCGTGGCTTTGGACTCGGTTGGTGAGATTTTCCAGTCGTGGGAATGGGGAGTTATCACTCGCTCATCACTCATAGGTTGTCCTTCGACCATTCTCGAGGCGTACTACCACCCTCAAACGGGCAGGCGCGTTTCCGCGGCGGTGGAGGTCCCCGAATTGTTCGGTGGCCCGAACGACGGGATGCGCATTGAAAGAGTAGTTTGCGATTTCCATGAGACCAACTGTCTCGGCGTATGACTTTGTACCACAGTCACGCCCCTCACCGTTGAGAACGTGTGAATTGGTTCGGAGTGAGCGTCTTGAGACTATCCGAGGACTCGCAAGGATTGAGGATACTTGCTGGAGCCTTGCGGTCCGTCTCGATAACTATTCTTCGCGGTGGCCCTAGCTTGCGATCCAATAGTCGAGATCAGCGGAATTCGAAGAGTAATTTTCCGCCCCGACGATGCCTTCTTCGAACGAATCTCCGCCAACACTGTCATCCGGATGCAATAAAGACGCGCGCTGGTATGTTTCATCACCGCGGTTATAATTGGTGTTCCCGGGCTGGAGTGATGAAGACGGTCACATGCTCATCTCCTCGATTTCGAGCAGGTCCACAAGGAGATCTTCTTCGCGAATGCCGTTTTCAGCGATGCCGAGGGAGACGGGGATTAGCTCTTTGGCGAAATTCGGCGACAGATTCACGACGGGATTTAATGGAGGCATAGTATAGAGTCATACGCATGCTCACATCGGACGTATGCGGAGACCGTCAATGATCTATGCTCTGTTTGCGACAGCACAATGCATATTATCTTTCTCGCCCGGTATACCGCGGCATCTGGGAAACAATTGTTCTAAGGAGAATGAACATGACGTTGCGGGTTCCCGAGCGAAATTTTGATCCGAATGAATAGAACTTGGGATAGCAGATTCGTGAGCATCTTATAATTTCTTCGCGAACACCCGTTCAGAGCACAGGATAGCTCGAGAACCTTTTCCGAAAGAGAAAGATGAAAGCAGGACTGCATGTATCCCGTCGGGTCTCTGTCGCGTTGTCACGTCCTATCGAACCGAGAGTCGACTAATCAGAAGTTCCCATTTCAGAGAGCCGTCACCCGTCGCATCAGCTCGCATGCATCGCCAACTGCTGAGCGAATTCCCGAAGCTCGAGAATCCTCTTTCTGTATCGTACTCTCATCCTAATAAAAGCACTTCATCTTCTGACTAACTTGACTCACCCAACGGAACGCTTCGGGTTGGAAGTCGCGTCGACTGCCCGCTAGGAGCTTTCCGCGAATTCTCCGATGGTTCCGAGCTTGAGGTTGCTCTCGGCACTGTGATGAGCGTTCGGCGCTGTGCAATAAGGGGTTCCGATTTCCGTGTTTCAGGCCTTCATTACCAAGTCCACAGAGCAGAAGTCCGCGCATCCAGGTCTGGTAGAATTTGTGGATCGGGGAAGATCTTGTACAGGTAAGACAAAATATCTGGTTCAAAGACCGATCATAGCTCTGCCTTATCGCATGTCGCATAGCTCCACAAGAGCTTCCGGGAACAGGCTAGAATGCACTTTTCGCAGCTGGTCAGGAATTCGGGATTAGGCCTTCCGGATCCGGTGCGCAGAATTTTTCAGAATCTCGCGGCTTGAATCGACTGGATTTGCCAAATATTCACATAGATGTGTTCATCCATATACATTGGCATATGAGATTGTCTGGATTATCATCTCCGCAGCCGCTTGACACCCCTATCCGCGGATCCGGGATCCGCAGATCTTGGGGATTACTGCGGATCTTTGGAAGGCCCTTTCGGTATATAAGAGACCGGAATGGTCGGTCGAAGGCCAGTGCGAACCACTGTTGCTTCGATTCCCTCGAATATAGTTCTTGCGACGACGCTTGTGTCGGCTGGGATGGAAACACTGAGGAACTTTTTGAGCCGAGAGCCGGGTTTATTGAGGCCGGGGTTTGCTTATTTCGAACGAGCGGAAAGTAATATGCCTAGCGCTTGCTCGTTCGTTCCATCCATCCGGAGCGAGACTGTTGTGTAAACATTTCCGATGAGGTTCCCTTCCTCGTCAGTCAGTCTGTCAGTCAGTCAGGCAGGCAGGTAGGCGGCCATTCAACCATTCTAGCTTCGTTTGCCTGATTAGAGATGCAAATGATATACAGTGAAACTTGTCTGATAGGACCAGCCGCGGTACACAAAAAAAGCGGTCCGATAATTCAGGTGGTCCCATTGAGCAGGTCGTCCAGCATGGGAACGAATCGAGTCGGTCCCTCCGACGTGTGGTCCGATCACTCTCAGGTTTAAGTCAGGTGGTCTCTTTGGACGGTGGTCGCATTAAACGGGTTACGCTGCATCTTGAAGTTTTTTGATCGCCTTATCCTCTGCCATCGGAATGCAGCAGATTCCGTTCGTGGCCCGATACTGCCTTCGACAGCGAACAGGCGACAGCACCTCGTGACGCGAGCGTCTCCGAAGACGTAGATCGCGATGCGAATGAAACGTCCGGGAGCTGATCGAAGATCAGTCGTTGGCGAAAACTTTGATCCGAGAACCTTTCTGCCTCGGCAACTATGATACTGATCGTCGGCCATCCGGAATCGAGCTCCTTCTCCCTTGTCCCTCGAGCTCGTTCAATGCGCTCACAGTCTTCAAGCTCAGAGAACTCTCAGTCAGTCGTGGGAAACATCGGGAATGCGGAGGGAAAGTCAGAATCGAATGCTCATAGTTCTTCAATGATGCTTAAGCCTTGATTCAGATGTGATCAATGTGATTACACGACCTCTTGGCCATCGTGGTTGAAGACGCACATGCGAGTCCATACAGGAGAAAGACCTTTCAAGTGCAATGTGTGCGACTACACATCGTCGCAGAGTTCCAATTTGCAGCAGCACCTCAAACGGCATTCGGATGAGCGTCCCTTCAAATGTGACCTATGTGATTACAGGTGAGCTGGGATACGAGGAATGCAGTCTTTCTGAGCAGGGGCGTACGCAGGGGGGAAGGGGGGCTTGAGGGGCTACAGCTCCCTTACAGATGATCCCTTCGTCATGCGGTAGCACAGGAGCGGAACGCCATACTGCATTTCAGCCCCATGCCGAGACCCGATCTAGCCCCCCCCCCAAGAAAAATCCTGTGTACGCCACTGTTTCTAACTAAGCTGCCCCATCGCTCCGTCGGCCGGAGTCTAGAGTATCCTCTCTAAGATCCGGATTGCTTTCTCATTCTAGCTGCAAACGAGGACATCAGTTAATTACTCACAAACGTTGCCATTTCAACAAGTTGCGAGCAGCTGGCGTGCTCAATTTGATCGAGACCATTGAAACAGCTTTACCTTCGTTATTAGCATCGCCGGGTCCATTTCCCCCGCGATCGCCGAACCCATAAGTCTGCCATCGGAGTGCTGTCTCGCTCCGGGAGGGCTGCCGGAGTAGCCACCAAGAGATTCCTCAATGTCTTCCTTCGTTGGCTCCATCGAGAAGATTTTCCCTTGAAAACTCACCAGTTTCGGAGAGTCGTACCGATCAAGATCTGTGGCGCAGAATGTCTGATTCAAGTCGACGAGCGGCGATGCGGAACCTCGATCGTCGCTCGATTCAAACGCGCAAATGCGTTTGAATCAAAATTATAGATGCTCCTCATCTGAGATCACCTCTCTTCGAAGCGACACATAACTGGTGGGCGACGGAGTGTGACGCTCTGTGCACTGGGCGCGTGCAGGGGATCTTTTGAGAGATTCTATCGAACATTGAGAGGGTTTTCTGCCTCGGCCCTCGCGAGCAGACAAGACATGGATTTCGGAGTCTCATCTCGTGGACGGAGACCGGGATTCGACCGCTACCCACGCGGTGAGTCCCGGCGAAGAAATACGGATGGAGTCTCGAGAACCGGCACCGGGTTACAACATGGAGGTGATCTTAGCTCAGATTTTCGAAAATCTGTCGCTGGACTCTTTTTCCTTATATTTATTTTTATTCTATATATATATATACATATGCCTGAGTGCCGATGAATTTAAATCCTGTTTGCCGTGATGTCGATCAGTTTTCGCGGAAAAACTTATCGTGTGTACATAAGCTCTCCGAGCTGATTTCCGAGTCACCGGCTTCTCTAGCCTTGCTCTGAAGGGGGCTTAGAGCACGACCAGAAGAGGTTACAAGCTTTGATCTATTGAAATCTGTTAATATATTATCTACCAGAGGAGCGAAGACTCCGATTTTGAGAGCTACACCTGCGAATGAGGGAATTTTTCGACCTGCGATCGTGTCAATGATTCATTGGGCCCATTCTGTCAGCTGACAACATCGCTCATCTCAAGTCCACGGCGTGACGCGCCGGTACGAACCCCACCGACTAGTCCGGATCGAGTTCGATTGTTCATAATAAAAGTTGAAAGCACTGGTCCTCGAGATTCATCTTCTGTACTGCATGCTCCGATATAGGGCTTCCAAAAGCTTGGTCTGGTGCCGATATTGCTAACTTTATTTCTCGCATAGGTGCCCCGGACGATCTCTTCTCCGGGAGAATATCTCTCGTAGAAAGCCTGTATTGTGTGCGCCATCAGCTCCTGTCAGCTCGTTCTTAGACGTTCGCCCCCGCACAACTCGAAGTCGTCCCGATCGCGATGTGTCGAGAATTTGACCAGGAACGAGTCCGGCAAACGGCACTTCCGAATGTGACGGCCCTGGATGCTAGATGGGTGCTGTCCGAAACTGACCGAGGTCCCCCGCAGCGACAGCTGTGACCCGAAAACAAACAGAACTAAGCACGAGCGAGACCGTTTCGACGGGGGAACCCATTTATTCCATACCAACACACAATAAAAGATTCCAGTGGCTCCACCGAAGTTCATCGACCTCATCCCTTCCACTTAAAACAGCGTCGTTTCATGAGTATGTATGCATGTATATATACATTATGAGGGGTGGATCGATGAGGAGTTCCGGCCTCTCGGATCTCATCATTTTTACCATAAATAAACAATCCGTTCGAGACACCAAATGAAGATGGAACCAACGCATACGTATACCGATGCCGCTAGACGCACTCATCGCGTTCCACTCCAATCCATACATTGACAGTCTGCATGCTGTGAGGGATCTCCGTAGCGACCGATGCAACATTCCCCACACAGCTCCGGGACAGACTTCAATAATTTTGTTTATTGGTTCGATTCTATACGCGATGCAGGTCTCTTCCGTGTTACGTGTACATCATCTCAGCCATTTGGGACATCTTCTTCGGAAGATGCAGCAGCTCGTCCAAATATCCCGCTAGTTCTTCAACAGTGACGTCATCCGCCGGCATGGCCGAAGCAGAAGGCAGGACTGAGCAGTTTGCCTGCGCGGAGCAACTCAAATTTTGCCTGGAAGACAATGATTGAGTCGAGATCTCAGATTCTCGATCCATCTGACAGGAAGCCGATGGGAGGTGCAGGACTAGTTAGCTTACCGAACTTCTGGTCTCGTTTCAGAATCCGCTCGATGATTAAGGAAGGCTTTCGTCTGATGATTCAGCTTCGGAGGAGCGATCAGAGGTTTGACTCCGCTGCTTTCACATATTCTCAACGACGCGAAGTCGACGAGGTTTTCGGTGAAACCGTCACCAAAAGTTTCCCTAGAATGTAAGATACACACGTTTATGAGTCTTTATCGTCAGACTATCGAATGGTAGGAAACGCAAAATTCGGATCTGACAGCATTCTGGTCAGGACTCACTCTCGAGTGCAAGTGCCTTCAAGCAAAGATGCTGATTGACTGATCGCTTCGACAGCAGGTGCCTTCCTCGACGGGGATGGATTCTCCTTCGGATTCGGCCTCCGCTGGCATGATCCAATGGTTTTCCGTCTGTGTTGAATGGTTCTCAAATGATGGGCCGGGGGAGAATTGAGACTCGAGGTAGTCGTCGCTCTGAGGAAAATGATGACAATAATGAGGAGTCTACGAGAATTCCGAGTACCTATATTAGTCCTCTGGATCTCTCTCAGATGATGTGTACACATTATTATTGCCCGCTTCTGCTCAGCTACCCGCTCTCGCAATGGACCTGCCCTGCGGCCCCCCGGACAAAGAACATCAAATACGGCGCATTATTTATCAGAAACCTTTATTTGTCGTAGATTACGGATGGGATCGATCATCATCTGGATTCGTACCTATTTCTTGTCTTCAACGATATTCTCCATCCGAGCTCGGAGATTCTCCTCGGCTTTCTTAGTGAGTAGATGTTGTATGTGCACCAGATGAACTTCGACTTCATTTTCGTAAACGATCATTGAACTCGGGCTGACTTTGCTCTGGAGGTCTTTAATTGCTTCTTTGAGGGAACGCAGTTCGAAGGTCGCTTGCTTTTTCTCCGTTGCCGTTTTCACTTGTAGCAGAATAATCATCAAGTTCTGGATTAGGTCGAGGTGAGCTTCGTTCGCTACCATCGGCGGGTCGCCGTTGTTGAGAGCCACTGTGTTCTTCGCTTCGCTCGTTGCACGTGCCTTCAGCGCAAGCGGATGTGAGAGCAGAGAGTGATCCTGGTCTGGCTGCATTTCCTCCGAATATTTGTGTATGCCCTCGAGACATTCCTCGAGATCGTGATTCAATTGAGAAAGATCCAACAGGATCATAGCGTATCTCTTCTTAAAGGGCACGGATACGAGGTTTTTGTTGAGTACGCTCCTTTCGGCCAAGTAGTTCATTTCTTTGAGTTTCTCGATTTTACGTTTCTTGTCACTCAGTACCCGGGTCAGCGTAACCACCAGCGACAAAAACTCTAGCGGGAAACCACTCCCGAATCGGGAATCGCTGATTGACGAGGAAAGCAAGGGATCTCCGTCATTTTTCAGAGATGATGGGAAGAAGGTTCGGGGAGCTGGTTGCATTCGAGGTCGCTGGATGAAGTATTCGATTGGCATTCGTTCAACGCGTTGAAGACTGAGCACTTCAAAATCAGGACAGGTGACTATACCCACTTCGGGCCTATCAAAGGATATACGATAAGTGGCACTCTGTGTGTCGACTGCGTCGATGGTCCCGACGAATAGACCATCTTTCTCATGTACATAGGCCATGACTTTGGTTCCGATCACCAAGGAAAGGGGTATTTCCGGAGGTAAATGTTCCACATGTTCCAATTTGTCGATGAGTCGTTGTTGTAAATGTCTTATGAGCTCCCTCTTCTCGTGGAGCGCGCGAACTTCCTCGTCGAAAAACGCCGCTGAACACCTCCGTGGTTTTCCCATGAAGCGACGAATGCGTGACCATTCGGTACGCGTAAGATTTCTTGTTTTTAGGAATGGGAAGCTTTGTTTGAGATAACTACTGAACTCGTTTTCCTGATTGAAGAGGCAGTCGTCGATGTTACTGTAGAAGAACTCGTACATCACCCATTTGTGAGCTTTCGGTAATTTGAGGAAATTCTTTAGCTTCGAACTCGCAGCACTCAACACAGATCGGTCCGGTCCCCGGAGTGAACTAATCCGTTGTTTCGTTTTGACCAGCGGGCCGGCAGGAGGAATGTGGCCGATCGCTTTCTCTTGGAGTGTCGTTTTCTCCTCACGTTTCGAAGAATGTATGTTGTATTTCGGCGTTCCCGGCGGTGTGACGGTGAACTGGGCACCTCTTTTCCGGGGCGAACGGTTCATCCAGGATGTGTCCTCATCGTCGTTGAAGAACCGCGAGTTTCGCTTGCGGTTCCTCGTCGGCCTCTCGCTCACGTTCAAGATTGGCAGTGATTTCCGTGGACTTTCCTCGTCCTCCATTGAGCGAGTTGCACGAAGTATTTCAAATTTCCACGCCAACTTGCTGACAACACAACAACAACAAGTTCGATGCTGCAGATGGAACAGCTCCCCATTGTAACGCCACTCTGTTGACCGCCAGAATGTGGTACCGGAAGGTATCACATCACGCGCACGCTACAGAAAGATCCCAAGATCATAAGGGCATCCGAGGACCCCTGGAATCTCACACCGAAGTCATGGACTCCCAGCGATGCATGATTCAAAGAGAAAATCGAATTCCTGAGCCCAGGGAGGCGAGTAGGTCGACAGGCATGGATACCCCATGGACCGTCGGAGCGTACCACGAGTCTCTTGTTGTGTTTCTCCCTTCGTCCGTGATTCAATCGAATCGGCCCTCTCCACAAATCTCAACGGACCGGCTCATATCGCGTATGAACATAAACAATGGGAGCCCTATGGTGAGTTCGCTGCACTCTGAGGTTCTTCCTCGTCCCCCGATTATCGCGACTCGGTCCGGCGTTTTTCTGATTCTCGAGCCCGAACTTCTAGTCTCCCTGAATGCCCGCCGCCCATTCGGCGTGCGTCAATCTTAAGTTTGCGCGGATCGGAGATTTTCTTGCGAGGTACCACGTTCGAACTGCAAGCTGCTCGAGTCCCGACTGGCTTCGAGAATCAAATTTCATTCTGAGAAGACACTACCCATGTAAAGGCTTGTTGCGACGACATCGATCGGTAGAACTAGGAGCATCCCTCGCATCGCATCACGCCGCTAGATTGAATGTATGCGGAGTTCGGGGGCTGATAGAGAATCGCTCTCGGACGGTGCAGGTCGAACGGACTGCCGAGAAGTACCCCACAGGCGGTGTTTCCCTGAGCATTCCAAGGCTTATTTTACAGTCCCATCTTCGGAATCCCGTGGGGAACCACGTTTCTTTCCCGGGTTAGCCTGAGAGCGGCTTCATTGAGCACTAGATTCTCTAAGTTTTCCCAGTACTTCTTCCTACAGACTCATAGGGAGATTAGACAGCTCCTCTGAAGATCATGTTATGAGACAGAATCAGAATGCATTCTGCAGCTGAACAAGGCGTCGTGTCGTGTTCCTTATGTGGCCGACCCCAAGGAGATGAAAGCCACGGAACGACTGATCTGAGGGTGGCCTTGTTGAAGCGATGCAAATCAAATCCTATCACTGAACTCTTCGCATAATAGCGTTCCAGCCTCCATATGCTATCCGTATATAACACATATTATCATTATTATCACTAAATGCTCGTGGCAAGGGTGGACTCATTTCTGATGTTCCTGAAGAGTTTCTCTGCGGTCAAAAGCTCAGTCCTTAACTCCCAACTGGGCTACTCGAGAATCGCGGGAACGAAGGACCACCAATAGCGCGCCCGAAATCGATATAGGTCTCTTCGACCTTTTGCTCCACGTTAATCTCGGTATGTTTGCTGTGCGTTTGTGAATTTATAGACATCATCTCGAGCACCGACATGGATGTACTGAGAGTTCGCGAAGAGAAACTCCACGCGAAGCTGGATCGGGATGAGTGTGTCGAGGCTAGAGCGAGATATCTCGCGCGGATCGCTTCGGAAATACGCTCGACAAGCAGCACCGCCGCCTCGACATACTTGAGGGAGGCGAACATGATTCGACATCGGGAATACGGTATGTACTATGAGATCATATCATGATCATTATCTAACATTGAACTGCGATCGTTCGAAGATGCGGGGTTCCTGACGCTAAATTTCCGTCGCGACGCCAAGATGTGCATGGCTTCATTAAATTAACAGGCTGTCAATAACTTCCAGGAGCTTCAGGGAGCATGTTCCCCAAAAGTGCGATCTGTGAGCGTTGCGGAACAATGTGGGCGCCAGATGATGTCTCCGCAAAGACCTCGCGACGCAAACTAATCTCGAAGGGCAAGATGGCGAGGCTCCGCCGGAAACGGACCACCAGACCATGGATGCTCACCAAGTACTCGGAAGAAACCTGGCTCATACAGACGTATACATTGAAGATGGTCTGCGACGATCGTCGAATCCCCAGTCTTGGAAGCGTTTCCGCAACAGCAATCTACCTTCAGATTCCAGAAGCGACAACTAGATCAGCAAGAGAAATACGTCGCGAATCCTACGAGACTCGAGTTCACATGCGGCATCTGCAATCATCACGTTCATTTTACAATGGATCGACAAGAAACGACGCCTCCGCCCTCGCGGCCGCAACCTGCTTCAGGTAGGATCGACGGTCATCAACGGGAAGAATCGCTCACTTGAGCTCGAATGAAACGACCGCCTAAAAACTTCCGATGGGAATGATCCCTTTCCATTGATAGGAATCGACGGCTCAGAGAAGCGGGGGAACTCGAAACGAAGGCGGAAGAGGAATCTTCTGCAGACGGTGAGAGACATCGAGGATACACCGAAAGTTCGATCCCCTTTGGAGTCTTTCCTCTCCAGTCTGTAATCGAATCGATCCAGCTCCTCGGGGGATACCATCCGAACGTAGTCAGCGTTCCTCCCGTACGCTTAGGAAAGAGAGCTTGAGGCTTGTCATCGCTACTCAGAACGGAAAGCGTGGGTGATCGTGAACACGGAGGTGTGGAAAACGGATACTAGAAGTGTCCCAGATTACGAGAACATTGAAGCTTCAGGCTTAGACTGCTGGAACATGCCCCCCGTACGGGACAATGTCGTCCTTATCCACCGAGGGACGAAACCCGGGATAGGCGGGTACAAGGATGATGTCGCAACTTGAAAATGGCCGGAAATCCCGAGAGTGGAGTCCTTTCGAGCAGAGACACGTTCCTCATTCTGACTCAAGCCCGGGTCCAAGTATTCCTCATTGAGCCGATTAGAACCAAGAAATCACCCGGAAGACGACAGGTTCCCGACTGGTCGGAATTTCGAGTTGATTATGTGGAGAGAGATGGTCTACCCGTCGGCCTCGAACAGGGGTTCCCCTCCGAGTATCCTTGGAGTCATCTGATTGCTTGAGGAATCGTGTATCGATCCTTGACCGATCATTGATGCGTCAACTACAGCGGCGAATCTGACCGGAACGGCGCGCGGCGCCCCGGGCGGGCTCCGAAAGCGTCTAATCGAAGTAGAACCATCTGGAAACATCCTCGACAATGCTTCGTCGGAGTACTAGGCTCTCCCCACCTCAGCCACGGTCATCCGGATTATCCGGTACGCGATCCTCAAAATGAGCCCCTGTGGCCGACGATTTCGTCGAGATGATCATAGATGGGAGAGCTCCTAGCTTAGAGCGGTCAGTGCGTCACTCTAGACTCGTAATATGTTGGCCTATCGATGATGAGACTCTCTTGAGCTGGGCAACTGCCGAAGTATCCTGCTCCCTCTCCCACAGCCCGCGCTCCGGGCCCTTGGGGCTTCCCGCGGAAAAGGCGGATGATCGCGAGGAGAAAAAAAATCGCCACCGAAAAAGCGAGGGAGAAATCTAGGTTTGCACGAACGCACAAAGCGCTCCGCGTCGCGTCACTGCCTTTGACTATAGCTCTACATAAAGGCGGCTCCGCTGTGATAATCTTGAGAGCGTCCTCGACTTGGTTTTGTGATAACAAAAGACCGCTAAGAACTTGAATAAAGAAGCTGTCCGCGGGACTCACCTTGCAGCGTTGACTCGCAGTTTCTTGACACCCAACTCGATGTGGTCGATGCTAGAAGGAAACAGACGGATCTGAGTTGTAAATATAACGCGAAGAAATGCTTCTAATGAATTACTTAGGTCATCGGGAGCTTCCTCTGACTGAACTAGATTCACCCAGGAGAACTGATTACTCGGTCAGAGCACGAGCTGGGACTATGAACCATGCTTCATGACGAGCTGTCGAAGCGTGAGGACTCCGGGATGGAGATCCCTCCGCTGTCCATGACGAGCGCTACCCCCTCGCTCTGCACGCGATTCGAGCTCGGAATTGACAGGGCTGAGACTTCTGCTCATTCCTCAGAGTCGGCTTCGAATCTTCAGTGAATATGCAACGGAGGCAGTAGAGCCCTTTCGCTCGGGGGATACAGCCCCGCGAGCTGCGACTGAACGGCATCGAAGCCCCCATCAGCGGCCGAGTCCCCTCAGGAGAGTTGAGCTCATTGAAGCTCACGGCTCCAACCAGGCCGCGGTTTTCCGCCAGCAGTATGTGCGTTCCGCGTCCACTTCCGCCTCGTATACCGCGGCGTCAGTAAGAAGGAAAGATCGGCGGCAAGAGCGGAGCGCGACTAACGGTGGTGGAGGAAAGTCATACGATTGAAGGCCGAAGCTTCTAGAAAGAATCACCCGATTCTCTTGACCCGTGAAATGCCGTAGAGCGTCGGAATGTTCATCTTCCATAATAATAGTAGACGGCAAAAGCTCTGTCTCCTTACGTCTTCTGAGTCCTGAATGAGGAGAAGAGAGAGAGGAATTCGGCTCGATCGTATTCCGTTCGTTTCTGCCGATGACCATCATCAAGTAATTTCCGGAAACATCCCCGGGAGCTTAATATTCTCCACTCATGCGTCCAGGAAAAATCACTGATGATGAGGGATGTCAGGTAGAGAAGTGATGCGTATCTTTCCCATGAGACACAGCAAAATGTCTCGAGTCCTATCATGCAATGATGAGGCAATATCATCAGCTGCTTGTTGTTGTACACAGAGTAGCACGCGATGCAGCTAGGCCTAGCGGCGTTCGAACTTGGTCTCTCCGATCCAGAGGGGCTATGATGGCGATCGGTCAGATAGAGCTCTAGCATCTTCTCACAATTCTCGACTTAGCGCTGAGTCCCTGACCTTAGGTTAGCTTTTTCGTCTTCACAGGTAGTCCTCTCGACGTCCTAACTCGGGGTCTGCTCTGTAACATAGAGAGATTCTGCTCACCTCTCGGACATTATCCTCCCACGATCCAGGAAAGAGATCCTGAGTCCAACTTTGCTCACGTATCACTCAGACAGCATTTGACCAATCCCTCAGGACTCAGCCCAGCACCCCGATCTTCACCTGATTCACTGCGCTGCGATATTTTGACACTCCATTGCCACAGCATTAGCCGACATCGTCTCTGCCAGACAGAGCATTAGCCTTC